CGTCCTGAACTGTACCTACATGTGCCGTAAACATGGCACCCTTGTACTCATATCAGCCTTGCCCATCCTGCCTGCGGCCTTCCACTCCTCACCTGTTGATCGATGTCCGTTGATCGAAGCGCCTCTTGTTGATCGATGATCGATGATCGATGATCGATGATCGAAGTCCTTCTCGTTTATCGAAGATCGAGGTGTAGGGTAGGGTTTGGCTTGCACAGCCAACTTCAACTGGTGTGTTCGTCACACCAAGTGCGACACGTCTTGCACCCATCTTCGTCTTTCAATCGATCATCCGGCTCCTAGTCACACTTGATCGGATTTTCCGTGATCGCTCCACGTCAATCGCCCCCTGCGTGCAACGAGACTGTTCAGCGGTTCACTCGCACGCAAGGCCTAACTGCCACACCATACCCCGGATCTTATTCTTCCGACGCTGATCGACCGGCATCCCATCCACACCCTCTGCAGCTTCTTCGGCGCCTGGTGCGCCCAACACTAGCGCGCACTCGTCTACTGCTGACTCCGCTTCTGGTGCGTATGCTTGTGTATCACCTGTTGTTGCGACCATCGCTCACCTTCCTTATTGTGTCCTTCAGCACCCCGTTCTCGTGCTCGTGCGTTGCTTTCATCGCTTGTCTTGCCCACGGTACCCCTCGAGCTTCCTGCGCTGGACCTAGCTTCTGTCCCCGGGGCCCTGGATCAGCTCGCGGCCGTAGTGGACCATGCCAACGCATTGGAGTCTCTGGTCGAAGACCACCACGATCTGCAGCTGGTCTGTCGTGATCTGCGAGGTCGCGTCCACGAGCTGGAGCAGCAGATGGACGATAACTTTGCTGTTGCGAGGTCCATTCGTCGAGTTCGTTGAGCACAAATATTCCGTTGTGCTCAACCAACGCAATCGGGCTCAGGCGGACCTTGGAGAGGCGTTGGACGAGCTGGAGGATCGTCGCGATGATTCCGCCGAGCTCCTGGACGTGCAATCCCGTCTCCTGACGACTCTTAGCAACCACATCGAGGAGCTGGAGCATCTACATCGTGAGATCGACGGCTTAGAGTCACGTATACGTGCTGCTCGAGCAGTCGCAACGCAACCTTCCTCTGCCGAAGCGCGTCGCTTTGCTGCCCTCCATCGTAAGTGTGATCAACTACGGGTCGATCTACGCAACGCTTGCGATGCCTTTCGCACTCAAGGCGTCGCTCTCCATAGCGCCGAGAACACGATCCGCCCTCACGAGGCCCACCTGAAGAAGCTGGAGGACTCTGAAGCCCACCTTCAACGCCACGCCAGCAAGTTGGAGTCTCGGCTTGGTCATGCGCATGCTCGTCTCAAGCGTGCCTGTGAAGAGCGGGACCGGTTCAGCGACGCGGCTGCTGTTACTGAGGCTGCTACCCGTCGCTTCACCTCACAACTGGACGAGATCACCACTGCCCGCGACAAAGCTATCGCTGCTTCCCAAACTTTTGGTACGTTTGACACTGGTCTGACTCTGTGCCTTTGCTAATCTTGTTCCTTGTTCATAGAATTGTGGGCGGCTTCTCTCCACGGCGACGTCGTTCGACTGGAGCAAGACGCTGATGCGACGCGTGTTGATCAGGAAGTTTCAAACTCTTCAAGTTCAAGTTGGCGTCCTTCAGCAGAAGGTGGAAGACGTCTCTCGTGAGAACGGTGCGTTGAGCCTCCGCGTCTTGGAGGCTGAGACGGCCTGTCACGTCGCAGAGGAAGAGCGCGACCTAGCCTCTGCCGATCTATTCGCCCTGCGGTCTCAAGTTGCAGGTTTGATTTCCTTGGTGCAGCCCACTCCGGTTGCTCTTCCCACGGCTGATGTTCCTGCCGCCGATCCGTCCTCCGTGAGTGATCGACCCGAGGATGGAGCCAGCCGCAAACGTCGTTCTGCTCAAGATCCTGACGAAGTCACGCCTCCTCCACGCTCAAAGCCTCGGCACGGGTCTCCCCGCTCCAACAACCCTTCTTCGGAGCTCGATCTCTCCGGCGCTCAAGATGATGTGTCCGTCGGTGCTGATTCTCCGGGGCGTCACGGCGCCAGTACCCTCCGCGGTTTACGTCCTTCCGGCCGTGATGGCATCGGCCTGTCACCTTCCGGCCCGTCGTTGAGTCGTCTCCGACGTGGCGATGCTCGGTCCGACTCGGCTGATCACCTCCGTGATGCCGACTCGGGCAGTGACGACTCCGTGATACACGCCCTATTGGGTCGCCGCACTTCGTCGTCTCCTCCTGTTTCGTCTGACCTCGCTGGTACCGCGTGTGATCGTCTGATCGAGTTGGACGTAGACGACACAGATGCCGATAACGCTGGAGCTGGTCGAGCTAGTACTCCCATTCGCGGTGGAAATGTCCGTGATCCTGTTGCCGTCGATGCAAGTAGTGCCCCCAAGTTAGTGTCTCGCAACGAGCTGTTGACGCCTGCCGCCTACGCCCGGTTGCCTCCGACCTGTGTTGACTGTGCACACTGGCTTCCTGGATATCGCGCTCGTGTAATCTTTTCTGTGACTGTTGCAGCTCTCTGGCCACTGTTGGACGTCTCGCAAATCTGCGTCCTTGAACTTGACGTTGCGAAGTTGTTCAGCCGCTTCTCCAAAACCCCTAACTGGCTATTTCCGAAGCCAGAGCCGGTGCTTAACGACTCCGATTGGGACGCGGCACTCTTGGACGAGGGCAACGTTTCGGCAGTCTACCATGGCTTCCACGCCATGGGGGGTTCTCGCGAAGCCAGTGACGTCCATCTCCTTTGAGAGGGACAGTCCTCCCTTCCAGACCTTGTCGCGGAAACCGGAAGAGTTGCAGACGAAGCATCGTCAAGCTGGGTGGGAATCCACCCATTCCTTTCCCATCTCAGAAGAATTACGGTGAGCCGTAAAGTACTTCGCAATCCTCTACGCGGAGCGCAGGCAGCGCCGGTCACGTTTTGGTGCTGCCTGGAAGAGCTTCCTCAAGATCGTGTTGCTGAGCATCGTGGCTGGACACTGCGACTTCGACATTCTTCTGGATCCTGTCTTCCTCCATTTTCCGCGCCCTGGTGAGCGGTCGAAATGGTACCCTGGTCTACACTGCACCCCGCGGCCTGCTAACCTGTTTCAGGTCTTCGTGACGCTGACCGCCAAGATCCCTGGCGCAACCAGTATCGCCACGCTATTGAAGATCATCCCGGTTCCCAGCTTCCCCGTCTGGAGGGTAAGTTTATCCCTCTGGAGTAGCTTCAGTGTCTGGTATAACGATCAACATAGTCGCTACCCTGCGTCTCTCAACCACGTTTGTCTTGACCTTGTTTGTATCATGCTGCGTTGTGCTAGTTCCTTCGTTGTTTCGAGGCTGACTTCACCTGCTTGATAGTTGCGCATCTTCTCGTGTCGGTGACTGGTTGACTGCGTCGATGGAGATGTATTCCCTTCATGGCTTCCCACCCTCGAAACCTCTGTTGCGCATCGTCTTACAAGACAGGGGCTACACTTCTGGCCCGGTTATCAGCTCTCTGCACCAGCTCTTCGCCCCCATGTCTTGGTTCACCATTCTCTGGTTCCTCGACCGTCGGCTCGATCCACGACTTCGTCTGCTTGTTACGATCATCGATCTCGATCAACCATCTTCCGAGGTACGTAAAGCCATCCATCATTCGGAGTCCTCCTCTACCTTCCGATGTTCCCCCTTTCTTCCCGGTTGATACCAGGTGTCTTCACGCATTATACAAATACCTATCCACCCAGTGTGTGGCCACCCCACACCCCCCCCCCCCCGCCGATGACTTACTCAGCGTTCATCCCTTCTTCATGTGATTGCATCACGTTGGAGCGGTTGCGGCTGGTACGTCCGCGCGCATACTCGTACAACAAGGCGGCGCAATTGAGGTCGGCTTCGTCTACCGGTCATAGCCTTTCCAATAGACCTGGAATTCTCGGTGTACTCGCCCATAGCGGGTGCGTCTCCCTGATCGCACGTTCACGATCCGTTCCACCTCGAATTCGTCTTCGTCCAGTGGAGTGTCCCAGCTATCGTCAGGCAACAACTCTTCATTAAAATCTACCCGATCATCGTCTCCGGTGCTTAAACCAACTTTTGGTCGATCCGGGAATGTTCGCAGTGGCTTCAACTTCGACAGATGTACTATCGGGAAAATTCGATACCCTGAGCCGGCGGTCTCGAGACGAGCTGCGTGATTGCCGATCGGCTCGGTCGCGCGAAACGGTGTGTAGCTTGCGAGGGAAATCTTCCTTTACGCGATCCAGGTAAAGACATACCTGTGTGCCTCCCTCAATCCGGTGTGGGCTAACGTTTCGTTGTGTTGGTCAGCCCTAGCCTTGATCGCATCTCCCAGATTCTCGTTGACTGCTTCCCTGGCTCTGCGGTACTGTCCCTGTATGTGGTACCTCCATCTCCGTGCAGCGCAATCGCGGTGGCGTGTCGAACCCACCGAAACAACTGCTTCAAGTGTCGATCGCGGGTCCCATCCATGGACTAGGAAGAACGACGTTGCTCCCCTCACTCGATCGTGCGCCGTATGCAGCGCAAACGTCAGCCGCTCTGCATAGTCGTCCCAGTCTTGCCGGTTGACGTCTGCAACGTATATCTTCAGGGCTCTTATCAGAGTTTGTACCATTCGCTCGGCCTTACCGTTCCCTTGTGGACGGTAACCCATTGTTGCGCTCGGTCTCATTTTCACGATCCGGTTGAAGGCACGGAAGAAGTCCGACATAAAGCCAGGCTCCCGGTCATGTCTGATGACTTCGCTTGCGTCGAAACGACGGAAGACGCATTCCTCGTAATTCCCAGCCACTACCTGCGCCTCTCTCGACGGACCAGCCTTGGCTATTACATAACCGGTGAACAAGTCGGCCCAAATCAGGAGTTCGGTGTTTCCTTTGAACGACTTCGACAACGACGGAATGTGGTCCATGGAGATCACCTGGAAGGGATATGTACCCTGGATATTTCCTGGTGATTATCCCTGGCCCGTTGGTTTACCTTTCCCGGTTTCGCAGTCGGCACATTCCCCCACGTAACGTTGTACACTTCGATACAGCCCACGCCAGTGAAAGTTCTCTTGGATCCTCCGGTACGTCCTTCCGACGCCTTGATGGACTCCCTCTAGACTGACATGATAATGGTGAAAGAAGTCTCGCTGCAAGCTATCGGGTATCACCACCGTCGCGATCTTCGCCTCGTTGCAGTATCTTGGGGCAAAAGAAGAGTAGCCCATTCTCGTCTACTTCGTAATTCGCGGCTATCTCCGAGCATGCTTTCGCCTCTTCTGCTGTCAAGGCACTCACCTCCCCGTCCAGGTACTCCTTCATATCTGCAATCCACTTCTCTTCATCCTGAGCTTGTCTAATCCTCTGACACCGTATGCGCTGTATGATAGATTCTCCCATCGCTTTCGGTGTGTGTCGTTGTCTCTCAGTGGCTCGCGTGATTGCGTTTACGCTGACGACTGTCTTGATCAACTTTGGCTTCAGCATTTCGCCCAGTCGGTTGAGGGTGATCAAGTCCTGACGATCGTTCTCTGAGGTGACTATTTCGCCTTCTTCTCGTTGCAGCACCGCACTTGCCAATTTGTCCGCAATCTGATTCCATTCCCACTTCACGTGGAGGAACTCGTGTTTCGGCCACGACCGTAGTCGATTCAACGCCTTCTGTCGGAGCAGTTGCAGGCCTGGTGTCTTGCAGTCCATCGCACCCTGCATCTGACGAATCACCAAATTCAAGTCATCATAAATTACGACACGGTCCCTGTCCAAGGTCGAGAGCAAATCGAAACAAAGAATCAGTCCACGGTATTCCGCCTCGTTCACTGTCAAATCTGGCATGTACTCCGACATGGCTTCCACCACCGTCCACTCCGAGAGTTTCCACACGACTGGACTATACGCACCGCCGCTGCGCTTCACTCGCACAGATCCGTCAAAACTCACCACCAAGAGGTTCTCGTCTTGTTCGATCGTTGGTAGAGGCATGGTGATCATTTTCCGTAGATGTGTCTTGGGTGCTATCGCGCCTAGAGCTTCATCGACATCGGCTCGGGGAGTGATGCTAGCTGCGATTGTTCCGAGGATTTCGTCTTCACCCTTCACACACTTGGTGACCTCCAACATCCATCCTGACAGTAGTGCTGGCCACCTACACAGTCGACCGTCGAACCGGTTCGACTTGAGCAACCAGGCCAGTGTTGAGAATCGTGACTGGACCTTGATCGATCTGGATACCAGCTGTGAGTAGCAGACGTTCAATATTCGTAAAAGCGCCAATACTTCTTTATCCACCACTCCATAGTTGAGTTCGTTTGCCTTCAGCGTGCGACTGGTGAATGTCACCGGATGGTACACACCTTCGTGTTCCTGCATCAATGCCGCTGATATGGCTCAATTGTTCGCGTAAAGCACGATGACAGGGGTGCGTTCCGGGTCGAAGTGCTTCAGGACCGGCGTCCCTCGCGGCCGAGTACCGGCAACAGAATTGGGAGGCCAAGGTGTTGTCGTGAAGAGATCCGTAGCACACGAGTACATAAACGGTTTTAATTCCGTGATGATGGTGACGTTTAAATCAAACCACGACATCCAAATCCTTCTTGGTGGTAAGGATGTCGCTAACCGCATCTATTACTGCTGCAAATATGTTACGAAGGCTCAGAATCAGATTGATTCCGTTGCTGCTGTTGCCCTTGCATCTTTCCGGCGAAGGGAAGAAAAAGAAGCGAATGAATTCAACGCAGCAAATACAAACCCCGATGGCATCAAACCAGCGGAAAGAGGGTAGCAGCGTTGGCATACAATCTGTCGAACAGACAGGAAATGGCCGGGCCGATTGCAGCTCTGTATAATCTACGCGGTTCGTGCGCATACACGAGCTCTCAATGCGAAAAACTCCACCTCGCCAATATTTTTGATCAGCTTTTGGACGACGATGAATATTCGTGCAGCCTAGTGGCTGTTGACTCTCAGGATCATACCACATCCGCCATCCCGAATGCACGAGCGTGACGATTATATTTACCGCCCAGCCAAACCGTCAAGCACCAACCTTTACTCGTTCTGCATGAAGTATTTCCGCCGGAGGAAATCTTCTTCGACCTCGAGTTCCGTTCTATTTTTAGAAGGCCACCCGCTTCGTGAATCATGCTGTCTTGGGATCCGTTTGCGGGATGTCGTTCCAGTCATTATTGGGCCCAGAATGCCCTATGTAAATGAACAGTCTCCGGATGATACCAAAGCGCTGCGGGCAAGAATATATCTTGTGTTGTTTAAACCATTTCGGGGTATCCTTGATCTAGTTCAGAGCTCGAACCCATCGGACACAGACTGGACTCGCGCTTATAGCCAGTGGCTGCAACATCGGTCTACTTTTCGATAAATACAATGGCGAATATGGTTGACTATTTCTTAGATTGACAGCAAGCTACCGCTTGGCACGGAACGCAAGACGATACGGATTCAGACTCCGGTGATTCACTTGACGATTCTTTTGTCGATGGCAACGACTGCTTAATGCTGACGACGCCAGATACTCAGACGATGACGTTGGTTCCGATCATAATTGCGAACCGTGCGACACCACAACGTTAAATCCATGTCTGTATCCAAGTATTCAGCAAAGTTCAAGTCATTCACAAGCGGTAATCAAGGTTATGATTGTCAATGGTATGTTACGCGATACGGCTGCTGCAACAGCATCAATGTTTGTCAGTCTGACTGAGCAAGAGGGAATACTGCGCACGGAACCCCCCCCCCTTTGCGGCAGTTGATTTTCTGCGACGATGGGTTAAAAATGATAGAACTGATAGCGGTTTGATTGTTGAATCGACGCAAGGAAACACTTTGGACAGGCCAACGCAAGTCACCGAGCTTATTCGTGACGCGTTACTCCCTGAAAACATGATGTGGAATACTTACGAGATAAGCGCCAGTAGTCGTGCTTATCCAACCATCGCGTGTGTATCCAAGGAGTATACATTGAACCCTCTTCAACATTCCGCCTTTTGTAAACTAGGTACGGCTTTATTTGAGAGATTTCGCAAAACATCAAAATCCGAATCCGTTTTCAGTTAGCCTACATGTCTGTTTCGGAAAAAGAAAACTATAAAAACAAATTTCGCAGTAGCCCTATTCCGAAACGGAACTGCACACATCCAGAGAATTTCTAAAGTTAAGTTCCAAAGCTAATGGAAACCAGCACAGCGCTAGTTGCATCGTCTGCGGTGGCAGTGCTCGTAGTAGTGTTAGTTGCGCAGCTAGAGGGAGAGGAGGTTGAACGTCCACTAATTCCTGGCATTCGTTTCGACGTGAGATCGCTGACGGACGTAGATGCACTAAACGACTATCGTTTCACGGGCCACCAGATTATTCGAATCGCTCATGCTTTACGACTACCTGAATGCATTACAACCGAAGCTCGTGATTGTGTCAACTGTTACGAAGCTCTCGTAATGGTTCTGAAGCGTTTGGCGTTCCCACGCCGCCTTTCGGATCTTCGAAAGACATTCGGACGCTCTAACGGTGTGTGCTACCGCGTAACATTGAACGTTGGAACGTACAAACTTTCATTTGGACATACATCGGATTAACCTAACTACTTCTAGCTTATTTCATCATTCGCAGGTGGGGCGATGTTCTGTTCTTTTGTGACACTATGTTTGTCAGGCGTTTGCCGTCGTACAAGATCGCTGTCACTGCAGCGTCACGGAATATAGTTGACGGAATCGCTCTTTTTATTGATGGCACAAAACACTTCATCTGCCGGCTCAGTCCACGTCTTGATGCACCGAGAGGTGAAAATCTACAAAAGGTTGCGTACAGCGGCCACAAGAGACGTCATTGCCTTTCCTACCGAGGCGTCATCGTGCCGGACGGTCTTTCCATTTCGTTTTGGGGGCCAGTAGAAGGACGTCGTCATGACACGACACTGTTACGCCAAAGTGGACTACTGGGGTATGTGGAAACACATCCTGTTCTACGACAGTTGCGGTTTAACATTTATGGAGACCCTGCCTATAGCGTTTCAGATCTTATATCTGTTCCTTATCAAGGAGCTTCGCTAACCCAAGACATGAAAGCGTGTAACGCTCTATTGAGCTCTCTTCGGGTTGCTGAAGAGCTGGGATTCAATCACATCAAGCGGGATTTTGCTCACCTTGAGTATGTCAAAGCTCACAAAGTTCGACTTTCCCCCGTTGCTGTCACCGTTAAATGTGCTGTACTCTTTGGTAACATCCACACGTGTATAAACAAAGGGAATCAGATTAGTACAATGTTTCAGCTGAAGCCACCTGAGTTAGAAGAATATCTTTTATATATATGTAGTGTCCATGGTTTCATTGAGATCCTCTTGAGAGCGGGGAGCTGAGTTCGGCTGGCTGAGCATTGATATCATCAGGCTAATTCGGCGGGTCTCAGCCTCCATTTGAGCCTGCCAAAATTTGAATTTTTGTTCTCATGGGTCTCCGCTCTTCAAACTCTTCCTCACGTTCTCTTTTATGAACCGCTAGCATTTCGTCGTGGTGCTAACGTCGCAATTTCATATCACTACGGAGAATGTCTTGAATTCCTTGTGCCTGTTCAACCTGTGACTCGATCAAAGGTACCAATGACGCTAAGATAGCGTTTTTTGCCTTGGTTGGAGTTTCTTTAGTATTCGGACCCGCTTCGACAAATGGACTGGAACGACCTTCGTCGAGCTCACTTTCATGTGCACGTTTTTCATCTGCAAGGCGTTGATCTCTCATCCGTAGCATAGCTGAATCCCGAACTACCGCGCCGGGACATTTATTAACATCTGCTTCTTTCTGTCGTTTCCCTTGAGTCTTCACCTTGGAGCTCTCCCAGTCGTTAAAGTCAGTCAGTATGTCGTCCATCAAACCTCGCAACTCTGTGTATTCTTCGTCAACTCCTGAAGCCTTTGCAGATTTTTCCTCGTCTATGCGATGTTTTGCCAGCAAAGTGTTGAACCGATTTTGGCAGGATTACTGTTGACATGCTCCATTTTAAATGTAGCGAGCATATTCAACCTGTCAGCAATTTCTTGCCGCGACTTCATCACATTTTTGTGGCCTTTCCGGTATGGAAGTACCCAATCGACCTCTTTGATCAACATTAAATCTTCGTCGGGGCCAAAACGCTTTCGTGTTTTCACTGTTCTTAAACCTTCCGCACCCAGCTGACCATCATCTCCGACGTTGTCTTTCTCGCTGTCCCTAAGGACAGACTCCAGGATAGTGTGAGCTTGGGCAACTTCAGTTCTTTTTTCCTGCTCCAGGAGCTGAGCACTACCAGATTCCATGGTTCCCATCCTTTTCCATGCATATACTAAGGTAAGAATACTTCATAGCAAGGCAATGACCTGCCACAACGACGTACCCGTGTCCAGACTTGAAATGCTTCGATAGTAGTGCCTGTCCGAACGTAAATGTTACTGAATTGCAACAGTCTTATCGAGTGGCAAGTAGTCTTTACATGATTTACCTGCTCCGAGGGCAGTTTTCGTTAGCATTACGTGGCTAAAAGCTGGTTTGGGACCGAATGTAACCAGGCACAATACCGACTACCAATACCTTAGCAACAAAGGCCAGCGTAGGGTGGAAACGACGCTCACCTCCACTGCAACACGTAGAACAAGCTAGTTATAAGAAGGCGATTTAACCAAGCCCAGCCTACACATGTGGAGAGAGGAGTGTTGGTCAGCTACACAGTTAGTACACCCAGCTGACACTGTACGTACGTAAAACGCTTCGACGCATTGCTTATGCCGCTGTAGACTTCAGTTGCTCGGTGCTCTCTCGCTTGAAAAAGCGACTTTGGTGTGCTACATATGACTTCCGTTTCGGAATTGTTGTCTGGAACGACGACCTAAAATCTAGAGTTCCGGATTCGAAATCCCAGAACTTAATTTAGAGACGGGACTGTTGTTCAGGCTTTGTAGCCACAAGTGTACCGGATTCGGATTCTGACACTTGCGAAATCTCTCTATTGACATGGTGCTTACATTCCGATTCTGATGATGGTGCTCACCAAGGACCTGATTTTGAGGCGGCCATCACACGCGATCAACTCCTATTTTTTCTGGGTGGGGCAGGCGGAACAGGGAAAAGTCGCGTAGTAGGTGCGGTTCCCCGTTTCTGCGCTGGTTGGGGAAGGGAGTCGTGTTTAGTAAAGGCCGCTTTGACCGGAAAAGCTGTTACACTGATCCAAGGGAGAACTCTGGCAAGTCTGATTGTTTCGTTGGAGCGGTCTAAGTCAACGGACCTTTTTGGTGTTGATATGTTGATTATCGACGAAATTTCAATGATGACAAAATTGGATTGGTTGAAGCTGGACAAGTTGCTTAGACAGCGCAAACGGATCTCGGGGGTACC